TAGTTCAGCACTGCCAGGATAACTACAGCAGGGCACTGTTGTTGTTGTTATTATTATTACTAAGAGTAATAGTAATCAATATCTCACAGTATGAATGAGAGCGTGGCTTATAACAGGAGTTATCACTCCTCTCCACAATTCCAAACCTCTACAGAATTCCATAAGAATAGGAGGGCAATAACGGAATTTTATAAAATACAGAATAAAGTCTTCAGTGGGAATTAAGTACACACTTGGAAAAACTTCCAAGCTACCATGTTGTTACCCATGTGTGCTGTGTCTCCAAAGTTCCACGCTGCTGTTTCCTCACTTTTCCAGCATTTTCTCTGGCATTGCTCCACAGGGCTCTTGTCACTGATCCTCACAGGGGCTCAGTGCCAGCACTGCTGGATGTTTTTGATATGGACAATATGGAAAACCATCTGCAGGGCAAACAGGCACAGGGTACCTGGGAATAACACAGATTATCATCTTCTAGATATTTATAAAACAACTCTGCTGTTTGGTTGGTGCAATAACAGTGCTGTATTCAGAGATAAACCTTGCACTGCTCTGAACCTGGAACCAGAACATAATGGTAGCTCTGACCTCATATGTAGGCATATTGTATGTCACCATTTTAATTTAGCTTTTAGATGATTATTTTCCTTTTGCTAATCTGACATTGTATCCAGAAGTTCATGTGCAGGAGACAGCTTCTTCTGTATCAGCTGAATTAGAGGTGCCCTCCCTGTCCAAAAAAACCCCTCATATATATTTTCCATGTCTTTTGAAACCAGTTCACGAGCCCTGTACCATCATGTAACCACATCATCTGTATAAACATCACCAGGGGTAGCTCATGTTTAAGCAAAACCTAAATCAGAAAGTTCAGTAATTCCACTTTGTGTTAACAAAATATTCTTGGATGAGATCGTGGTGTATAACAAAGGAAGGGAAAAAAATAAACCACCAAAATAACCCCCAAACAGTTTAATAAGAATCAGCTTCTCTTGGTTTTAAAAGTTCTCAAGGCATGAAAGCATGGACTGAAAAAAACCCTCCTGCTCCATCAGAACTGGCTCTGAGGCACACAGTGCCCTCATTTCCCAAAGTCATCAATGTCCTGATCCTGCTGCAATTAGCAACTGCTAATGTAGGTGATGAGCAAAAGAGAGCAGGGCTTTGGCACAGTACCCAACCTACCAACGGGACAAACCAGAAGTGATTAGAAGAGATGAGACAGCACCAAGGAGAAGGACAAGGTGGGGAGGCAAAGTACTGAACACTTTTAACTCTTCCAACTTTCAGAGGAGGGTCCAAATTCTCTGCGGTGGCACCACTGCTACCCCAAGTCCTCCCATCATCCATCCAAGGTCTCTTCACTGGGTTGTTCCAATTCTGCAGGTCATTTCACACCAGTTGGAAGCCTTAAACTGTGAAACAAACTCTTGTTCTTAATAAAGAATTATCACTTTTGATATCTGTATGACAAATCACTACAACAAAGAAAAGGTGTGATCTAGAAGGAATAACATTTTATTTATGATCAGTCTTTCCCTGAGTTCTTACTTTATTGTTGTGAAGGTACTCAGATGCTTTTTCCAACTGGAAAAGGTATTTTTAAGCTCTTTGTTATCCAATCCATGGAAATAATGCTGAAGCTCCTCTGGAATTGTATGATGGATAAATTCCAACACTAAGTGAAGTCTTTTTTTCCTGCCTAAATACTCGAATCAGGGTGACAATATTCTTATGATGAAATCCCTGTTGGTAAAAAGAAGAAAAACAGTTTTACCATGGCTTTTTATTTCAATTCATAGAGACTTCCTCTTTAAAAGGCTGATAACAGGAACTATAATTTGCTTAATTAAAGATTGTCATTAATTTGAAAACATGCTAAAAGTCTTTGTCTCTGCTCCCTCAGCCTTCCTCCAATACTCACATACATTTACCACATTATTTTTCACAGTGCATCTCCAGTCTCTGAACTAACACAGCTCTGCCAGGAATAGAGGAAAGAAGGGAGCAGCTCCTTTCATTAGCTTAAAATGCCCTCTTGACTGTTTTATTTACACTAATAAATCATAGATAGGAACTCCTGTACTAAAAGAATCACAGTAAAAATGTACTTTTTCACACTGAGGCCCATTTGCCACTTCATTTTTACACTACTTTCTGTTGATATTTTGAAGCAGCTTTAGGTTAAAACCAAAGCTACTTTTAACCCAATATAAAAGTATGTGCCATTTTAATTACCCTTTTTTTATTATTTTAATTGAGGGCTCCACTCTCCATGGTGCCACATCTCCTTCATGCCACCAAGAGCCAGGACATCAGTCTGCATTTAGAGGGAACCTCGAGAGAAGCTGAGGGACCCATATGGCAAAATGTGCCATTATGCCTAATTAAAAATTGATAAGAACTAAATTTTTAAAACATCCAGTTACTGCAAAGAGTGGAAGTGGGCTGAACATACAGCACAGAAGCAAGAACCCAAATTTATACCCTTATAATCTGACTGCAAGTTATTGTTCCTGTACTTTGCAGAAGTTCAGTTAAATCAGAGTGAGCTGCTGTGTTTGGCAAGGAGAAAATCCAACCTCCCCCATGTCCAGACTAAAATTCCTGCAGACCTTTCATGGACAGAGGTCTGAACTCAAACTAAACTCTTAGAGGAGATTTCCCCACTGCACCCCCACAATGCTGAATTGTCTTTGCAAGGAAATACTTGTCGATGATCCCTGTTGTGTTTGGGGATGGCACAGAACTGGTGTAACAAATACACCACCCCTTTGGTGGCCAATGTGCACTGGGGATGCCGGGAAGGGAGCCAGAGCACAGTGATGTAATCCCCAGCTGACAAAAAGGGCACCTGGGGAGGCTGGGGCAGGGCAGTGTGAGCTCCAACCCCGACCTTGGAACTGCAGAATCAGGAGAAGCCTCTCAGCCAGCTCTGCTTTCCCTCTGCCACGGCCTGATGGAGCTGAGGACAGGGGAGAGCTGGTATGGAAACAGCCACAGCAACACCCAGGCAGGATAACCAGCCACTCCCCACAGCCCACACACCCCCCAGAAAAGATTTGAACTGAGATGCCCATAGTGACATTATAATGGCAGTGATGCATTTAAATTCATTAAGCAAGGTGGTACTGGAAATAATTATCAGCAGCTTTAAATCCAAAGTGCTTATTTAGTGCAGATTTCATGTTGAGGCATTTTAAACCACCGCTGCAAGGCCAGAGCCTCTCTCTGTAATTGTTAGCTGGGACTGACAATATATATTAATTTTAAAACATAGATGTGCCATGCAATCAACAGAGCAGAAATTGCAGGTGGTTCTTCAGAGTTAAAAAAAAAAGCTTTCAATTTATTAATAAAACTGCAAGCTACACATGTTACTGCCAGGCAGGATTAAAAAGAAAATGTTCCATTAGATAATGTCAACACACTGTTCCCCAGTGGTGTCAGAGAAGAAGAAATATTGTCACTGATGAAATATGGCTGACAGGGTTCCCAAGCCAGGTGGGAACAACAAAGGATTTCAGGTTTAACTCCAGTTTGGTGCTGGTGTTTGGGTTTTGTTTATTTTGCTGGGCAGGTTGAGGGTGGCTCGAGCTTCAAAGGACAGAGAGCTGCCCTTGGGGCAGGGGATGCCCTGTCTGGGCACTGCAGCAGCGCCTGTTAATGATGAATTAATTAATGTTCTTAAATGACACTAATTATGTGTACAGGTCCAAGCTTGCACTTGTTTTTTACAGTCTGCTTTAGCAGGAGCTAAATATAAGCTGTAGAAAGGCAGAGGAGCAGCAGTGGAATGTGAAGTGAAAATGTCTGTGTGATGGGAGGAGGAGGAAAAGTCCAGAGGGGGGGATTGCTTGGCAGGGACCATTCTTCACTAGTGTGGAGAGTAATGTTTTAGTGCCTGGGGAATGGTAGTTTCCTATTACCAAACCTCTTGGGAAAGCTTTCTCCCTGCAGTACCAGGCTTTACATGAATCCCTACACTTCTGTCTCACTGCTGGCAGCTGAATGTTTCCACTGAGGTGGGTGTTGGGTTGTAGTGTCCAGAGGTAAAGCCTTGCAGAGTTAAATCCCACCCTGTGTGAGGCACCAACTCCAGGCAGTGTCTGATCAGCCTCTCCTAAATCCCCCAGTCAGGGGGTGCTGCAGTGTGGGCCTGGCACAAGCTTTCTCAACAATCAGAACTGAGCTTTGTGCTCTGTTAAACCCTGGACTGATGCTGCTCCAGCACCTGGGTGGCTGGAGGCAAAGGGAATGGGCAGAGGATGCAGACTGTTTTTTCCTGTCACTTCCTTATGAGTCCCATGGTGATTTGACCTCCTAAAAATCGTCTGGAAGCAAAGCAGAGGCACATGAACCACACTGACCCCAGTTCAGGGATAACTTCCAAGGCTCCACGGAAGAACTGGGTCACGAATCCAAAGAGACCTGTTCTGTCTGCTGGAGTAATGGGATTAAAAGAAGGGCTCTGGGAGCCAGGACACCAGTCTGCCTTTAGAGGGGACATCGAGAGAAACTGGGGGACCCATATGGCAAAATGTGTCATTACCTCTAATTAAAAATTGATAAAAACTTGAATTTTTAAACCACCCTGTTACTGAAAGGAGTGGAAGTGGGCTGAACTCGCAGCACAGAGGAACCCAACTTTATAACCCTTAACCTGACCGCACGTTACTGCTGCTGCGCTTTGCACAGGCGCCGTTAAACCAGGCCGAGCTGGCGTGCGTGGCGCGGAGAAACCCCAACCCGATCACCGCCCAGACTGGGATTCTCTCAGCGCAGGACCCGGCCGGGCGCAGCCGCTCGGGTTGTTTCCCGGACCCTTTTCCCGGTCGCTCTTCCCGAACTCCTCCCGGCGCCGAGCTGCGCACGCGCTCCCCCCCGCCCCCCGGCGCAATGGGCCGGCCCGGCCCCCCCCGCCCCGCCCGCACATGGGCCGGCCCGGCGGCGGCCCCGCCCCGCGCGGAGGGAGCCGCCATTGCGGGTTGTTTGTGCGGTCCGGCGGGCGCGGAGGGAGCGCGGGCCGAGGCGGCGCGGCGGCCGCGGACTCTTTGCCCGCCATGTCCACCCCGGCCCGGCGGCGGCTGATGCGCGACTTCAAGAGGTGAGCGGGGCACGGAACGGGGACCTGCCGCCGTCCTGCGCCTTCCTGCCGAGCGCGGGGCTGGCGCCGAGCCCCCCGGGGCAGGGGCGGCGCGGGGGCTCCCTCCCGGGGAGCGGGGGATCCCGCTGAGGGGAGCGGCGTCGGGCTGAGGGGAAGGGGGGGTCTCTCCGAGCGGAGCGGGGCTTTGTTCGTGCCGCCGAGCCCCGGCGCCGACGGCTGGGGGCGTGTGAGGATAAAAGTTGGAGCGGTGGCTGCGAACGAGGGCACCCCGGGAATGCCCCCGGGAATGCCCCGGCGGGGGGACGGGGCGTCGGGATGTCGCCGTGGGATCCCGGCGCGGGATCCCGGCGCTTCCAGGTGTCCGTGGACACCTCCCGCCCCCCCCCCCCCCCCAGCCAAACACCCCCAGTATCCAAAGGCTCCGGCTTTTGGGATAGCTCAGGCAGAATTTAGGAGCCTTCCAGGCTCGCAGTGTCTCCCTGAAAATTAATGCTTTTTTTGGGGTAGGCTCCTAAAAAAACGAAGCGCAAACAAGCCGAAGTGCCCTTTTGGTTTGTACGTAGCAAAAGCCAAAGTGCCCGTCGGTGTTTTTAAGCACATGCTGCCCTCTCTGAAGTTGCGTGAGGAATCTTTTGTGTAATGCATGCGAACTCCTAAAGGAGCAGTTATTAGTTGCACTCTTTTAAATGTTAATGGCCGAACCACTGACTCTGGAATAAATTGTTTCCAGTCTGACACGTAAACGCACTTAGAGAGCGTGGAGGAGGGTGGGGGTTCCTTTGTAGGATTTACAGTATGTCCTGGGGTTTCTCTGGGCTGGAGTTCCTCGGGAGTAGCTGGAGGTGAGTCAGCTTTGATAGTGTCTCTTTTTTTAGCATAGCGATGTTATCCCAGGCCCTGAAAATACATCAGTAAACAGTTGACGTGTATTGTAGTTGCACGTAAGGCTACAGCAGGAAAAGCCCAGTTTCTGAATTTCCAAGAAGTAGGAGGTTTTTTGGGACGTGGAGCCCTCCCCCGCTGTTGTGTGCGAGTGTTGGTGTTTGTTAAGAGGGTGTTTCTTGATTCCTGTTCAAATCAAAACAGGATATTCGGACTTTATTGTGTTTGGTTACACAGATGACACGAACCAGTGATTTTTTTCAGGCTGAGTGACTAAGTAATTTTTGAAGATTGCAATCAGATGTGGGTTTTATGCCTTTATAATCCTAGAATGACTGGTTTAATAATTTTGCTGTTAAGGCTGGAGAGAAAACTTTAAAGCTGTGGAAAAGTATAACGAAGTATACACAAAGCAAATAAAATTTATTTTTCATATATATGACACCCCAAAACTTATGTAACCTTTTCATGTCATTTTTTGTTTTACTCTGCCCTTTCCTAGTTATATATTTGTTTAGCCTCATGTTACTTGTACTTCATCACACTGAAACAGCACATCGTGTGCTGTGAACTCTGATTCACGTCATCAAATACAAACTGCTTTCAGACACTGTGATTGTCAGGAGCAGTGAAGAGAGAACAGTTCAGCAGATTTTGTAGCTCCTCTAATTTGTTTGACTAAACCAGAAGGGAAAAAAAACACAATCCAGTTTTATTTATTTATTTATTTATTTATTTATTTATTTATTTATTTTTACTGATAAAAAGGGATTACAAACACCACATTTTCCTGAGGTGTTTAAGACTTCCAGGTGCCATTTGCAGTCCTTGCCAGACCCTTTCTGCAGTTAGCCCCTGTGGCAGTAGGGTGCACATGTGCTTTAAAGTTGATTGAACCCCCCGAGCCGTGTTCCAGATGCATTTGTGAGGCCAGTGCTCAGGCACTGCTGCTGGCAGACAGCCCGGCTGTCACGGAGGAGAGAGTCCTGTTCCTCCTTTCCCTGACCAAAATAGTAGGTGGTTTATGCTGTTGATCCTGAGCTGTCTGAACTGCATGTGCTCGGAGAGCAGGGATGTAAACACGGGGTTCAGAGGGGCTCTGGGGCAGCACCACGGCTCAGCATCCATGGACACATGGGGTTTATCCCAGGTGAGGCAGTGCTGGTGCAGGAGCATTGCCTGGCTGTGCTTTTGTCAGCTCTCAGTAAATCTGCATTTGCACATCGACATTTAGTTAAAACTTGTCCCTTGGTCTGCAGAGCTTTTCGTGGCAGCTTGTTCATAAGTTACTGTGATGTGATCAAACCTCACGGTAAGACTCCAGAATTCCTTGTTAGGCAAAGGCAGTCACTGCATTTTCCTTATCCTTGCATAACTGGAGGTAGAACACTGAGGAGGTTTGATCAGACAAGTTGTTTGGGACTCACTGATTTGTGGTGTTCAGGGTCTCATGTGATGCTTAAGCAGAAACCCTGACACACAGAAGGCTGGGCAGAGGGGAGTATTTGAATCCTGTTCTTTGGCTGCAATACATTTTTCTGTCTGCTCCAAGTTTATGAGGCTTTCGGTAAGTAACACGCTTTAGGATTAAGGAACTAAAAATAGTTTTAAATGCTCCCGTGATTGCTGTAGAGATAAACACATTGTTGAACTGGTAGGAGGGGGCAGTGCACAGGTTTTCCCTTTGCTTCCCCCTTTGCTTCCCTTTGAAGCAGTCAGCTTGCCAGTCAAAATAGGCTTCTACCAAATTTAGCCACGTCGCATGCACGGATCTGAGAATGCAGGAAAAGCTCCACCGACAGTCCCTTGTGCTGAGTCCCAGCAAGTGTGTGCTCTGTGGGAGTGTCACTGCCTGGATCTGTGGGAGTGTCACTGCCTGGATCTCAGTGTGTTCTGTGTGTCAATGCCTGGATCTCGGCTCCTGGTTGTGGCTGCAGCTTTTTCTCCTCTTCGTGGTGGCAGCCAGCAGCAATTGCTCTTTCATAGTTCACTGTGCAGCACTGTAAATCCCAGCTGTCCATGGTGCTTTAAGTTGTTTTACAGTTAATCCTTTGTTCCCTGAACACTTAATCAGACCTGTTGGGCTCTTGGAGTGTCTCAGAGTAAAACATGAGAAAACTTTTATGTGCATTGCCTTGTAGGTTTGTCTTTCAGAGTATGGATAATCTGCATGTAATGCTTTGTGTATTCTCTGATTTGGAATGAGAAAATATTTACAAAATGTGGATGTTGCTGTTAAATTATACTTGCAGGTGAAAGTGTTTCATCTATATAAGACTTGTCGCTCTGTGTTTCTGATTTTTAGATTGCAAGAGGACCCTCCTGTGGGTGTCAGTGGTGCACCATCCGAGAATAATATAATGCAGTGGAATGCAGTTATATTTGGGTAAGAGTTTTTGGTCACTAGGAAATTCTATACCAGAGGGCTAAATATAATAATCTGGTGTTTGTTTTTACAATTATTCTTTTCTTTTCTGTACATAAAGTCAGCAAACTGAGAAGAATGAGTAAGGATGCTGTTGTGGTAATAATTCGTTTTCAGGATTAAAGCGGAATCCATAGGGAAGAAAAACTTTAAATTTTAAATTTGTTCAGCTTTCTATGTTGAATAAAGCCTGCATGTGGCTTAATGAAAGGGTTAGAGTGTGTAGGAGTCGGGTTATGAAAAAGCAGGACTCCTCTTTAAAGTACATAAGCGTCACATGTTCCAAGCCATTAAATCCAGATGTATTGACAGTGACTGGATTGATTCCCAGTGGGACGAGGTACAGGTTCTGTTGGGGAAGCTGCATATATCCTACAGAAGAGGAGCTGCCTTAGTATCCTTTCATAAAACTGCAGTATGCTTGCTAGTAATCTGCTCATTAATTCCAATCTGGTCACATAATGGCACACGTATTGCTTGGGATGATGATAAAGTAGATATCCCAAATAGCAGAGTGACTGTAGACAAGTGTCTTAGATACCACAAAGCTCTCAGAGATTGCTTTTGCATGCTTCTCTAAATATTTAGATTATTGCCTCTACCTGTATCTTGGAGAGGATGAAGAAGATATAAATTTGTTGAGTTAATTTGCTTGTGTGGAAGTAGGTAATGATCACTTTTAACTGGAGTTTCTTTTCAAAACCTTTCAGGCCAGAAGGGACACCTTTTGAAGATGGTAAGCCACTAACTTTTATATTCTTTGTCATTCTTATAAATATTGCCAGTATTAACATTGTTCTGCTCTGGAAAAATAATAGATGTTATCTGTATATAATTTGAAAGAAACCAAGCAAGTGAAGGTTTGTTGGCCATAAAAATATGCATCTTGATCTAAGCAGTGTCTCGTCACAGTGGCTGATGGTTAGTTAGGAAGCTGTGAAGTGATGCTGCCATCAAGCCTTGTTTGTACATGTGCACCAGAGCTTTTAGCAGGGGATGTTGGCCTAATGCTGCCAGATGTGTTTTCACATCTCCAGAGCTGAGCTCAACAAGACTCTGCTTTTGTTTCATCTTCCTGGCATGTTTGATTCATTGCTGTTCTCCTAATGAAGAACAGGTGAAAAACCTTGAATTGTTCTGAATATAGAACTCAATGAGGGCGAGGGAATCCCAAATTTGTACATAAACATGAAAGTTGGTGTGTAATGAACCTCCCTTAGGCATATGAGGAATAATGAGTTTAATAATTATAGTATTATTGCAGTAATTGGCAGCAGATGGGTTTTTCTCTGTGTTGGGTTGGAGGAGTTACAGTAAATTATTCACTGATCCATAATAAAGGTTTTCAGTGAATCAGTTATGAGCTCCAAAGACTGAGATTGCTGATTATGAAATTCCAGTGTTTTTTTGCTGGCACCACAGTGCCTTCTTAATGAAACGCCTTCAAGTCACCCAAGTCCACAGAACCAGCATGTTGGGTCACGGAAAAAGGGGAGGGCAGTGGGATAATGTTGGCTCTAGCTGCCTTTGCCATGCATACAGTGAGTCTCCAAGCTTCTACCCAGCTTCTGCTGCTGGGTTTATTACTCTTAAATTTCATTGTCACTCGAAATACATGAAAAGAAATCAGACTCAGTGTTGTTTGTTTATGTAATGGTGAGAAGAAATATTGATCATGGAACACATACATTAATTTCTTCTCTATGTTCCTGGAGATGTTCTTTTGTTGTTAGTTATCTGATTGTCCTTATCTTTGTTTGGACAGGTACTTTTAAACTAGTAATAGAATTCTCCGAAGAATATCCAAATAAACCTCCAACTGTTAGGTTTCTATCAAAAATGTTCCATCCAAATGGTGAGTGAATCATCTTTATTTAGCTGTAATACCCATTAAATATTATGGTGTGGTCATGTATTCTCCAAACCTCCAGAAATGCTTAACAGCTCTTCATCTCTCTTCATTGCCATCTCCTAAGTAGATGTCTAGGACAGCAACTGCTTGATGAAAAATTAAGAGTTATGATGCTATTAAGAAGCAGCTATCTGCCTCTTTCTAATCAATACGTACCCTCAGTAGCAAAGCCTGTGAGTATTTTCAGCAGCAGCTGCACTTAGGTTGGTTTCAAGAGGCAATTCTGGTTGCAGCTTCCTGCCCCTTTCCATTTAACAGCAGTTGTGTGTGTGCAGCCACATCGTGACTGCAGGGACCTGATGGAGCCAAATGTCATTTATTTCTGCTGGGCAAGATTTCAAGTCCCTGCTTTTGTCCTGTGCTCTGGACCAAGCTGGACTAGCACAGGGAGAACATGAGGGTGCTCAGTCCCAGAGGAGGCAGCTGACCTGAACTCGGTGATGAGGGCAGCACTGGGAGGGTGTGCACCGGGGTTCCTCCCCAGCACTTGATAGGTTTGGCTCAGTTATTCCTGCCTACATTCAGATTTTATTGAGAAAAACCCAAACCCTGCCTCTTGCCCCTCTGTAGCAACAATACCTCACGTCCTGTGCAGGCCAGTGCGTCTCTGCCAGGGGGGTTGTGCTTTGTTGGGTTTTATTGGCACAAACACCTGGAGCACAAGGGTGTAGGACTCAGTGGTGAGTCTCAGGTTCCCACAGGCTCCATTAATCCAGACAGAAGCAGGATTTCAGGCACACTTTCCCTTATTTTCTGTTGTCTGCCTTGGTGCATCTCATAGTGAGCACAGGGCATGTGAGAACAGGGCAGGAACTCCCCCACCCAGTGTGTGATGGCCTGAGTGGGTTCCAGTCCTGCAGTAAATGCCTTGCTGCTCCCTGGGAGGCCTCTCTGTGTGACAATATGGATCAGTCACACTGGAGGAGCAGCAAACCCAGCCTGCCCATTCCTGTGCTAATGCCAAAATCTTCAGACCTTCCTTCTTTGCCTCTTAAGCGTTCTGCTAATTTCAGTAATAAATCTCCAAAACACAACGTGTCAAGCTACAGAAGCTCGTGAGACATAACTGCTGTCCTCTTTCCTAAAGCATTAATTTATGCACAGAGTGCTTTGGAACAGTAACTCTGCCTTGAACAGTATGTAATGAACTATAAATGTGACAGGTTCTAAACGCTCTCTGTTGTGTTCGCAGTATATGCGGATGGCAGCATATGTTTAGATATTCTTCAGAACCGCTGGAGTCCAACATATGATGTTTCATCTATTTTAACTTCAATTCAGGTAACTTTGCATCTGTTTTACCAAACAATGATGTTGTTGTTTGTCTCTATTCCAGAATACCCAGCTCAGTGATGGGGATAAGCCAGGCATCTCTGTCGAGGGGAACTTCAAACCCCTGTGAGCTAAGCAGTAGCTTTTCAGATCAAATGAAGGCAGAGGTGCTGACCTACATAATTACTGATTCTGAGCTACAGAACTGCCATTATATATTTTTGGACAGGAAAGCAGTTGCTGATTTGGGTTCATTTTTAACTATTTTTAGTCAAGATAGGACATGAGCTGCAGAAATTTGCCTAGTGTTTCAAACACCAACCTTTATAACAAAGCTCTGCCCTTTGAAGCCCTCAAAGGACAATACTGCTGGAACCTACTACTTGGAATGAGTGAAAATGGCCTGGCACAGCAGAAAAGCACATTTCCTTTTCTCCTACATGATTATTTTTTTCTACAGTGGAGTTTTGTAGGAGACATCTTAAACCCCTCTTCAGTCCTGAATGACAATAGCAGTGTAATTATCAAATAGTCAATTAGCTTCATAGTGCTGACTGGCACAAAGGACCCTGTCCCTCTTAAGCTTGTGAACCTACAAGTGTGTGCAGCACTAATGCTTAAGCAGGGTGTAATTTGAGGTTCAGCAATGTAATTATGGGTGCCTAACCATGAGTTTAACCAGGTTTTATTCATCTGGCCCTTCTGAGTCATGTCTGCCCTGTGAAACACATTTGACTTGAAAGTTATAACTTGATTTTCCCTGATTTAAATGTGTTGGTTTGTCTCACATTATGTTTTCCCCTCTTTCCAGTCTCTGCTTGACGAACCCAATCCAAACAGTCCAGCAAACAGTCAGGCAGCACAGCTTTACCAGGAGAACAAACGTGAATATGAGAAAAGAGTTTCAGCTATTGTGGAACAAAGTTGGAATGATTCGTAACAGCTGCTGTGTTACTCTCCATCCTCATAATCCTTATGTACAATTTAACTCTCAGTAGAAAGGCTACCAGAAATTTCAAGTGCCACAGTTCTATGAATTTGCATAAAACCTCATTTGCAAACAAAATTAAGCCCTCCAGTTTAGGAAAGCTAAAAGCTTGTGTATCTCGATTAACGTCCTTTTTATTGCATGGTATGAACTAAGTTATTGCTACATAAATTTGTAATATATCCTGTTTGTATTTTTTTTCCAAGTGTATAATGTTGGTGTGGAGTTTTCATGACAGAATATACACATTTTGTAAATCTGTACTTTTTTCAAATATTGAATGCCTTATTTTTGAATTCTTTAGATTTTTAAATTGGAGAAAAGCACTTAAAGTTTTTATATATGAATATTTCATGTAAAACTGTTAAATACATAACCTTAGTGCAAGACATTCTGCTCTCACTCTGTATCTGTTTCCATTTTTAGTCCATTTTTCCTTCATCTATGCTGATGATGCCATGCACTTTACAAACAGGAAAGTTAATCCATGATGTAACTATCTCCACAGGATGTCTCTGCTTCTGCACCAGAGCTTGGCTTGATTCTGTGTGTCCTCAGTTGTATGAGGAAGAGTTTTGGTAGCTGCTAATGACAAATGGGGAAACAGATGTAACTATTTTGCTCAAAGTCCCACTTTAAACCAGCAGGGGAGTTGGAAACACCACCTGGATGAACGAGGCTTGGTGCTAATGTATTCTAATAACTTTTATTTTTCAGGGAGATTGTATTTTACCAAGTTGTAAAATGTTGTCATCTAAATCTGTCCTATATTCACACACTGTAATATAGTTTTGAATACCTTCCAGTAATTAAAGAGGTGTCCCATTAGTTTCCCTTGGGGGTGGGGAAAAAATTAATCACCAGCAGAAGAAAACATGCCTGCAGATTTAATGGAGTTATTCTTTGAGGCTTGGCTGTGCATTGCCTGGTCAGGTCTCGTGTCTGTATCACAGAGGTTCCACATACTCCTAAACTGCTGGTTTTAAAGAAGTTTGGCTTTGCTTTTGGAGGTGTTGATGTGGTGATAATTTCTTACTGTATTCTGTAAATCAGGCTGGATGACTACAGTAAAGAATTAGGCCATTTTTTTTTTCTTCCAGCAGCAAAATTGTAACCCCTTTGTCATAATTCCAACCAGCATTACATATGCATTAAAACCTCCAAATCCTATACCAAAATACAGCTCAGTGTTGCCTGGAAAGCAGTGGAAGTTTATTTCAGCTAGAAGAGAAAATGTTGTTTATTTGCAACAGTCATGACTAAAAGCCTCAATGCACTGGAACAGGAATATCAATTTACACCTCACACCTTGTGAAGTTCTGTGATTTTAAGGAGCAGCACTCTCAGGTTTAAACCCAGCACTCAGAGTATTGTCAAGGCTCTTAGCAGCTTGTGGAGTAAAACTGCTGTAGCTTAGACAGGAGTTAGTGTGCAAAGGCACAGTAACAGAAGCATCAGTGCTAAGCAACAACTGAACTACACTCCCATGAAGTCAGTTTGCTTTCCTTGAGTTGGTGAATTTATGTTTAAAAATTCTTCAGTCTGTGTCTGATTAACAGAAGCCACAGAGGATCCAATTTGCCTTTTGGCTGTGGTGGAGTTACAGTAACACTGGCAAAGAGTTGCTGCGTGGCCTGAAGCAGCATCAGGGCAGAGACTTTTTTTGTTCACAAACACAGTGGGGAAAAGCTTCCTGTTTCTAAGAATTAATCGAAGCTTTGAAGATTATTTTTTTAAATTTTGCCTCCTGTTTCAGTATTTTTGTTCCTCTGATGTGTGCACAAGGGTCATTAGTGTCCACATTAATTTGATTATTCGTGGACAGCCAGTTTGGCCTAGTTAGAGATTGATGATGCTCAGAACGTGTTTGTGTGTCTCTGGGATGGGGCAGTGGATTTCTGAGAAACATAATTGGAGCAGAAGGAGGTTTAATTAAGTGATCAAGCACTGCAAACTGCCTGAGCTGGGACCCACAATACGCAGGGACATGTGGGTGTCTGAAGGTTTAGGAGCATCCTCTGCTGAGGGCACAATTTGGAGCCTACACGTAGTAAAGTCTCAGTGGAAAATGTCCTGCTGACCCTCAGACAAAGGTGGTGATTGTGAATTCCTGTATTCCCAGTGTATGGTAGGGAGGGACATTCCCTTAATTCTCATGTTAACACTGTGTGATGGCTGTGGCAGCTGGATATGAACGTTGGGAGGGTGAGATTCCAGGTTGGATGATAACCCCTGGGTAGACAGCGGTATAGAGGAACCGGCATTTCTTGAGGTGGGATCCTGGAGCCCCTGGGGGCTGCACAGTGTCCCACAGAGCTGGGGGGGGGAATGACTGGTGACTTCTGTGAGCCTTCCACCAGCACATGAAAAATAATCACAGAGCATAGATCAAAATCTGCTAAAACTCCATAGAGAAACAATTTATTGCCAGGAGTCCCATGAAATTTAAGGACCCAAAGGTTCAAGTACATCAATTCACAAGAGCACAGTCACCTTCTTAAACAGTGCACTAGGATGCTTGATTTTTTAATTAATTAATTAGGAGATACACTAAGCTTGCTAGGACAGTGGGATTAATTAAGGAAGGATTGATGGGTACAGGGTGTGGGGTTTATAGCTTCTCACGGGGCTTTGGTTCCTTGATATTAAACAGCTCATGATCACTTCTTTTCCATGGGATTCCATATAAAGATTGAAAATCACCGTGGAGACATCTTTAAATTATTCACCCCAGAGTTTTTGTCCTGTATATCCAAGTCATTCACCTGATTTTACAGGTGGACAGACGGAGCCCTCCAGATCTGCAGGATTTTGGTGCCAGGAAGCCCCTGGCAGGGCTGTAGGTGCGAACCATTCCTGGGCATTGCCCACCCTGAGTTTCAGGTCCACCTTTGCCTTCAAGTTTCTCGTAGCAACATTATTCATAAAGAGGCATCAAACACTGCACTGCCTGTGCTGCTTTCTTCAGATCTCGGTTCCCTGAAGATGTCTCATCCAAATACAGTCCCAAGCCAAAACTACGGGACTTGGATCTTCACAAATGTGATTAACTTCAGCAGTGTGAGTCGTCCCATTGGGATTCTTCACCGTACTACAGATAAATGTGTGTAATTGCAGAATTGAGGCCTTAGGCTGTGAGAAGTGAAGAAATCACAGCTTGAGGTACTATATCTTCAGCTTCTTTGTGGGAGGTTTTGTATTAATAGTCAATTAATCCAATGTGTCAAACAAATAAAGCTTTAAATATTTAGAGATTAGGAGGTGCCTAATAAGAAATTCACAGGGAAAAAGGAAGATTCCCTGATCACTACAGCAGCACTGAGTAATTCAAAATAAAATAGGTAGGATAACATAGGTAAATGCTTCACATTTAACATGTCATGGTTCTGTAAGAATTTTTGATGTATATAAAAATGCACCAGGAGAGGAAGAGCCTTCTCATCCGGCCAGACTTCCCAACCTGTGTTTTTGTTTGAGCTTTTTTACTGTTTGTGGAAGCTGTCCCAGGCAAACACTATGCCTTTATTTGTTTAGAGTTGTTTTTTGGAAGAGGAAAGACGTGATCAGCAGGCAATCTGGTGTAATGTGTGAGTTGGCAAGGCAGGTTCCCCACCTCTCCTCTGGACGGGAATCTGTGGTGAGTGGCTGGTTGGACTGTGAGTGGGAAACAGGGACCAGACTGTGGGTGAGTGGGCAGCCCCAGCTCCAGCACTCTGTTTAATTTGTTATTTAAGTATCAGAACATTTATCTGGCCTTCTCTCCCTGATTTTGGTAATCTTTCTAATGGAGGAGCTTCAGGTGAGGACAGGATTCCTGTCCCGTGTCATCGCGGTGGCGATGGCTCACAGATCCTCCTCAGGGCACCCGACTTCCTTAGGAGGTGTAGTCTGTTATAAACCCTTGGATCCAGCCTTGGGCCATACAAACACCGTGCAGCCAGAGTGGTAAGTGATTTAGGAGGCATTCTTTTTATTTCAATTAAGTTTTGGGGATGAAACCAGTCCAAAACTGGGAGGCCAATGACGAACTGTGTATTACTGCACAAAAATGGACAGTTCTGTTAACACGAGTCTTCTTCAGAGTTAATATCTGGAAATCTCTTCATATCAAAAGAAGAGCGGTGAAAGAGGTGAAGGGGAAAGGAGCTAAATCTAAAAAAAAATAATTAAATATGTAGAATCCAAGAACAAAACCCATTAAAAACCCAATGCTGCTCTGCTGTTGCTGTGCATTCAAAGGATATGAGTCATTTTAGAAAAGAATGTATCTTGGATTATGGGTGTGTACACATAGGAGAGGGCTTTTTGAGCTATTCTAAAAACCTCAGTTAGATAGGAGTGTTTGAAAATAAATGGGATTTAGAGTTTGAGGGGGTTTTTTTTGCTTGCACCTTGAGTTCATCTCATGCCCAGCCACCATGAGCAGAGGACAAAAAAGAGAGAGAACTTTTTAGACCCTGTGATAATGACTGTAATTAGCATCACAAGCTATGGAAATTGCAATATTCCCTACAGGTTTCTTGTCACTATCCCATGTTTCTGCAGTGAAAATAAAGATTTTTTAGACAGGGTATCTTCTGTGTTTAGTGCTGTCCCACTAATGGTAACGTTCCAGCCTCCGTGACTGCGTGAATCCATTCTTAATGCTTGTGTCTGCTGTGGTCTGTGTGAAAGCTGTATCCTGCCAGAAAGCAAACATGCTCCTGTCAAACAGTGGACGTTGTTCAGCATCCAGAATGAAGCCTTTTTCTTTATGATGTGGTCAGGGCACGTAGCGTGGGATTTTCTGAGCTGGTGCAAATGTTACTAGAAGAAAGTGTGTTTTAAAATCCCAGTTTGTGAATGTTTTAATTGGAAGTTCAGTGGGGTCATAAAATGAATTATTTTTGCCCTTAAAGACGTGCCAGGGCCGGGTCAAACTACTGTATGAGGGCAGGGTTATGTCCTGATGGCACTGATGGAACTGAGACCTGGCTGCAGAGGCTGCCAGCACTGAAGGTGGGCAGATTTCCCTGCCCAAGCCTCCACCTGTAGCACAGGGTGTTAGACCTCAGCCCCTAGAACTGAAAAGATCTGGAGTTTCTTCCCTTGTTTTGCAGTTTGGGTCGTTAACTGCCGTGTCTGATGCATTTCTGAGCTGAATAATTCTGACAGCTGCCAATTTGGTACACATACCATGGGCTGAGCTGGGAGCCACCAGGCTGGGGAGGATTCTGCTCTACCTGGCACAGCAACAACCTCGGGCACAAAGGGGGACCTAAATATGTATTCATGAGGGAACTAGTTGGGCAGAGAAAGGTCACCCCAAGCATCTGAGACCCTCAGTGGTTTTTATCCTGGATAAAGCTCTGCTTACAGAAATCAGTGAACACACCCATGTTGTTTTCAAAGCTGTGTTGAACTTTGAACTGCTCGGTCTCGGCGTCAGGTTATTAATTACATTGTTCATGATTGTTACCATTTATTTATTATTTATATTTCAGTTCATTTTGAGGCTGATTTTGGTGTGAACAGAAGATTATGTGGGTTCAGGGGTTTGTCTAGAATTCTGACACACACTACAGTGTCCAGTAAATGTAAATATTGTTATTTTATCACTTCACATTAGTGCTATCTTGATGGGAATAGAATGATTTAGTTCTGAAATATGGTCCTTCACGCAGGCTGAGAGGCAAATTGTCTTCAATGACTGACCAGAGCGGGAAGAAGGCAGAAATGCCATCTCCTCTGAATTAATTATGAACCACACAGCTCTTGCTATTATCTGTTTACACATTATTGGCCTTGTGATGTGCTGGTGAGAGGATTTTCTTTCACTGTCTGGTCCAAATGTACGTTAAGTCCAATTTCATTAAGAAGGCTGCTCGCCTGCCCTGTTGAAAGGGTCATTGTGTGAGTTATTACAGTGTTTTCTTTGTGCTCGCTTCCCCCAAATTCCAGTAACTATTTTGTAGAAAAGTTTGAAAGTGAACTTTTGATGCCTGTGAAAGCTGCTTCATTGACTTTATT